AGAATTTCTTTGTTAGATGAGAATTCATTTAATTTGATATTAATGCCTATTAAATAATATTAAATAACCAAATTTATAAACAGGATGAGAAAACCTGTAAGTCAAGCAACAGTTAAAAATATTTATGATGTCGAACAACAGGTTCAACCATATCAATTCAGTTTAAAAGAAGTCTCAACGTTCTTAAGTTCAAAAATATAACTGACTTAGTACAGGCTTATGGAATGAGATCAGAGAATGAAAAATGAAAACAGGACTAGATTTAATTTTCCTTCTTAAAAGAATAATATCATTTTGAATTGATTGGGTTTTTAAAATTTTATTAAAAATTTTTTTAAAAATTAAAAAATAAATTGTCTGCACCACATTGCACATGGGATCTTAGTTCCCAAACCAGGGATTGAAACCATGTCCCCTGCAGTGGAAGCAGTTTAACTGCTGGACCACCAGGGAAGGTCCCTATATTGATTGTTAATTTTACGGTATCCTATGAAAAAAGGTGGAACAGATACTATCATACCTATTTTGTAGATTGGGAAAACTGTAGATTAGGAAAACTGTACCAAAAGGACTTAATTAACCTTTTGAGTCACTTATTTAGTAAATGTCAAGTAGTATTAGCACAGAGACCCAGCTCAGTAGTTTGTCATTAGACTACCTGTTTTTATGGAATTTTTAAAATAAATATTTGAGATCCTCATATGTAAAGGAGCATTACTTAATTAATTAACTCCATAATGGTTTCCACGTGTTTACAATATATGGTGCTCACAGGAACCATGGAACACACGGGAATATGAAACACACAGAAATACGTTGAGCCTGTACTTGTTGTTAAGACTCTCACAAGCCAGTGAGGGGACAGGACAATCTATCAAAAACCCATTTCTGTCCCTTTCTAAATGATTCTTTAATTAAAAGTCACTGCTAGAAGTGTGGTGGTACATGTGAGAAGGCAGAGGTGTTAAAACACCGTGGGCTTCAGTAGGGGTCACGGCCAAAGGTAGAAGGTAAGTTTCGTGTTGGGACCTGGAGGCTAGGGATGGCTGTAGGAGGATGAGCAACAAGCAGGCCAACAAAGGTGCACACGCAGACAGGGGCATGGCCCGCTGAGAACAGGCTGCGGGGTTTACTTGGGGGCATTGTGGTAAATGGAACATTCAGAGCCAGATAGTACAGGACCTCTAAGGCTCAGCAAGGTGGGCTGTGCCTGATCCTGCAGGCGAAGCGGAGCTACTGAGGATGCATACACAGCAATGTAACATAATGCAAGTATTGTTACAGCAAGATAAATCTGAAGAGTGTATAGTATGAACTGAGGGACGGAAGAGAATTAGATCAGACAGAAATGATGGAATAAAGTCATATACGTGAAATATATAATCCCATTAGTCCTAATGCCATTTTTATAATCATAGGACATAATAATGCAAATATAAAGTAATAAGAGCTAGGTCCAGGGTGATGGCTACAAAGAGAGGAATTGAAAGTGGCGAAATCCAAGTAGCAAGAATCAATATGACCTGGTGACTAATCGCAAATAGAGGAAAACAAGGGGACTGCTCTGTCCCTCCCCTTATAATTCTTTAATCTGCATAATTTTCAGGGTATACCCTTTGTACTCAGTCAAGCATATTCAATTAGCCTCTATATTTTCCTTTATTTATTTTTAATTTAAAATTATATTCTATTATCAATTATGTCAGAGGAATAGATTCTCCCCCTCAGGGATGAGAGATTTATGTGGCATGACCCAAAAGATTTTTGGGGACAAATGACTCGTAATGCAGCTTTTATGATCTCACGGTGATTTTAATGTGCCAGACTTTCATGCAATAAACAGAGGATTATTATTTCACTCTAGGATCAGGAGATGGAAGGCTATAAAACACAAGGCTATTTTAAAGGCGCCATTAGACCATATAAACATAAATTATGTTTTAAGGCTTAAAACTCTCAGGAAAGTTTCTACTATATGGAACACTGTATATCTCTCATCTTTTATCACTCTTAAAACCCTCATCACTATGACATCTTGGCAAGGGAAGTATGGTAGAAAAACAGGATGAGAATAGGGATGATGGAATAAATAAGGTGTTTCCTTACAAGAACTTGCTGTTAACCTGAGAATTATTCAATATAACATTCATACATTCATTACAGCATTTATTTACAGGAGCTCTTGCTTTTTAGGAATTATGTTCTATATGGAAGAGACAAATCATATACGTGCCCTAAAGAAGCTTAGAGTTTATGGGGTAAGACAAATGAAAAAATTTACCTAAGAAGTTTATAAATACTGTATGCACACAAGATTATGGGACTAGCATTGAGGGGCATGGGGAAGAGGGAACTGAATCCGGGTTGGAAGGTGAGTGAGAGGAAGAAGCAGGAGGAGATAATGACTTTCATGGGACAGTGATGCTTGAATTGCCTTCTCCATATTCCTTGCCTACTCCTCACCTCCACTCCTCACCCCAGGACCACTTGTCTCTTTTTTGGGTAGTCCAACCACACACAGGTAATCCAAGACCATTTTCCTCTTCTTCTCTTACTACCTTTTACATGGTTGATTCCTAAAGAAGTGTCTTCAGCTCAAGCTACTTCTCTGATGAAACTCTGAAGTTATGGGAGAAAGTTCATTAGTGCCTAAAAGTAGCCACTCAAGAACTAGAAAACTAATGTCTTGGAAGCCAAATGAAGAGAGAATATCAAACAGGAAATGGGTGTTAATGTTGGGTGTAAAAAGAAACAAAACATGTGCTTTGACTTTTGGTGGTTAGACCACTGACATACTTGGCAAGAAGATGTGAGAGAAACAGCGAGGATAGAGGCTTAAAGAAGATCATAGACGCACCAAATAGACTGCTTATTTAAGACACATCTGAGAAAGGAAGAAAAGATAAAAATCAGAGGAGGGACTGGATGAAGGGAGTTTATTTGATACAAAAGAGAACCATTTTCATGCTGAGGGTATTGCATCAGCAAAAATGTTGCAGTTGAACTTAGAGGAAGAAATTTGATACAGTAAGTTATCCGGGTGGGGAGGGAGGAGCTGGCGCCCTTGTGTAGAGAAGAGCTTTTTCCTGCTCAAGGCAGGAAGTGGAAGGCAATGGGTGGGGATGCAGGGAAGTCTGTAGACCAGGAGGCAGGTAATCCACAAGGCTGATCACACACTTATTCTCCAGAGTCCCCCATGTAGACCACAAAGAGGAGCGAGCCAGCATCCCTGTGCAATCCTTTCTTAAACATTCACTTCACTTAAATGAATTAGTGGATACTTAACCTTCTGCCCCTTGAAATTCAAACATGCCCAGCAGTAGCCTACAAAGGGCAGGATGCTGGAAATAGATTCTCCCCAGAGGACTAAATGGCTGACCTTGCTCAGAACTGGTGGTGCATGATGCTAATAAAAATTAGTCTGATTTTCAGTCAGTTTTATTATCAACTTTAAATCATCATTGTGACCCCCTTACCACTTTCATCTGACCAGATCTTTTCTGCCACCCTGCCCCGGCTACACCACTGCAGCTCAGACACCTGCTTCAAGGTTTCTCTTTGAAGCAAACATAAAGGCATGAAACGAATTTGGATGACAAGCATAAAAGAGCCTGAAGGAAGTGAAGAAGTCAAGTTTAGTTGTTTCGTATTGCAGAAGAAGAAAGCAAGACCCAGATAGGTAAAATAATTCATCTGAAATCACTCAATCCAGAAATGGCAGAGCTGGGTCTGGAGTCATTCTTCCGGTTGGCCTTAAGGAGAAAGTTCATCTTGTCTGCCCTTTAAGATTGTAGCCCAGACAGCAATTTGGTGGCATCTAAGTAAGAGAATGGTCCATGTAGACCCAAGTAGATTCATAAGGAAACCAAGTCTTCTGGGGGAGGAGGTAGGAAGAATGACTTGATTGTTCTCCATTTCCCTTCCATGATGGAGTCAAAGTATTCTTTTATAGAACTTTGGAGATCACTGCAACAAACTCCTTTCTTTTCACTTCATTCATTGTTCTTTGATAATACTTTCAAAGAAATTTGAATTACCCACTTGGTTTTTTGCAGTTCTTAAAGCCCCAAACTATATTTTCTGAAATATGGGGTGTATGTGTGCGCATGTGATAAAAAATACAATCAAAATTTACATACATGCTCTAAAAACCTAAGGTAACAACAAGGACAGTGATAGGAAATGGAGACCCAGAGAAACAAGTGGAGGACCAACTTGGGAGAATGAACCTTGAAAAGCTCTCAGTTCTCCACTACCCTGATGTGCAGTGTTGGATATAATATCAATCATATTTCAAATGTAAGAGCAAAGCTTCTTATTTTAAGACATACCATGGGAAAGCTCTACTTAATATTTTGAGGAAGCAAAGAATTAGCCCCTCATTTAAATATTTTGCATATTCTAGTTTTCCTATTTACATTTGCTTTAAATGGGAATGTACCAGTACAAGTATATCACAAAGGCAGGTAAACAACAAAAATAATGTCATGAAGCTTGAGATATTTACTGTTTGTTTGGCTCAAAGGAAGCAGAGGGAAAACTTCATAAAAACTAATTTGTGGTATAGACTCTTTCTACCTTCCTACAAGAATGTGGTCTTTGGTGGGAAATACTCTACTATATCCAATAACTATTCTTATTCACATACCTTCTATCTACCAGAGTTTTGATGACAATTAAACATGATAGTGTTATGTGTGAACAGTGGCCTTCAAAAGCACTCAATAAATGATTATAGAAGCTGTCCTGTAGTTGAAGGAGACTTGACTTGGGTCTACACCAGACCCAAGTCTTATCAAAATCAGATGTGACTAAAAGATTATTGATAACACAGCTAGACTCTTTTAGGAGACAAGAAAAACCACTTCCTCCTGGTGTTCATTTGGTGGTGAACAATTCTACCCAGTATGCCAATCATCTCTGGTTCTATCCTTCTCAGTTAGGAATACTCTAAAAAGAAAAAAAGCAACCTGTTGGGGGAATCTAGAAAAAGTTCTTACCTCTCCTGAAGTCCTATGGGCTTCATTTTGAAAGGAGAAGGGCAGACAGTGGTGGTAGCTTTGATCTCAGGAGTGTATTGGCCTTGAGGGTCCACAACCACACTCAGTACCTTTGGAGCCTGTTCAGGCTGGACCATGCTGTTGGCTGTCTTGTCCTCAGAGTGCGCAGGCTGTAACACAATGGGTGATAGGTGGATCTCCTGATTTTTCTCTTTATCTTGTCTCAGGGAAAGCTGAAATTTTTCTTTTAATCTGTAAAGAATCTATGGAAGGAGATACAAAGAATTTCTGTCACAGTTTTTCATGTTGAACAACAGAATATGATCTCCATCCCAACTTAGAAGACAAACCAAACTAAGTGAACAAAGCTTCCTAAGATGATTTCTCATTTTTATACTATTGAGGATTTTCCTCAAAAAGATGCAGTTTGTTTCCAGTTATGGAGTGCAAAGGGCTTCTCCGGTGGCTCAGTGTTTAAAAATCCACCTGCAATGCAGAAGACTTGGGTTCAGTCCCTGGGTCAGAAAGATCCCCTGGAGGAAGAAACGGCAGCCCACGCTAGTGTTCTTCCCTGGAGAATCCTATGGACAGTGGAGCTTGGCGGACTGCAGTCCACGGGGTTGCAAAGTGTTAGACACGATTGAAGTGACTGAGCAAACACTGCAGTCACAAGGAGTACAAACATATTAAACGTATATGTACATGAGTCTGCTTTTCAAATAGAACTCAAAAACAAATATGCCTAATTTTATAAAGGTAGCAGATGTGTTTGATTACATGTAAGCTCTAATTTAAAATGACTGACATGGAAAACTTACAGAAAGAATAGCCATGATATAGAGACTTATGACATTCATAGAAACAGAGATCTGCAACCACTACAATGTGTAAGAAAGTCTCATAAAGTAGTAATTAAAGCATAGCAATGCTATAAGCCACAAGTTCTTAATGTAGGTAAATATCTGCATTAGTCACATATTAATTTGAGTATCTAATAAACACTTGAAAAAATTAAATTTTAGGGCACATGTGAAAGAATAATTTGGACAATCAGAATTTTCTGTTTTACTTCTTGCTCCTTTAAATTTTGAATGTGTGTTGAAAAAAGGCCAAAGTATCATGTTCCTTCATTCTCAGAGTTCTTTCTGGAATGGCTAACTCAATTCAGAAAGTTTTAAAACTTTTAAAAGAACGGGACTGACTTTGCTGGGACACTAGTGGACCAAACTGTGAAGTGAGCAAGGTTTGTCCTTCCTGTCCTCAGGCTTTCCTTTTTATAAGCCCCTTCCCCCCTTTTTTTCTTTTCTTTTTAAAATATTACTTTTTATATTTTATATATTTTAATGTAGTTTTTTCAGTTTTACTGAGATATAATTGACATATAACATTGTATACGTTTAAAGTTTAAGAGGTACAGTATAACGGCTTCATAGTTTTTTCTTCTTTCTTGATGATAACTCCTCTACTTCAATTATTAAAAAAAGAATCAGGATGAAACAAAACCACAACAATCTAAGATGAGAAGGTATTAGACTGAGATTAAGAAGAAAAGAATTCAAAGAACTGAAAACTCAGCAGCAGGCTCTACATCTTCTTCTAAGCAATAAAGAACAGAACTGACAATGCAGAAAATACAGTCAGTGGTAGATATGACAGCTGAGAGTCTGTCTGGAATCTATAGCAAAGGAGAAACAAATGAAGATGAAAACAAGAGAAAAGATGGGATATGGACATCAGAGAAGAGTTAATGGTAAATGATAAACCAGAATAAAAGAGAGAAGCAAGTCATCCAAAACTATTTTTCAGTGCCTTGTGTGAAGTACAAAGTATTCCATCATGAACAAAATAGACTGTATCCTGCTTTTATGGAATTTAGGGATATGGAATGAAAAAAATTCTTAGTTTTTTTTTTTTAAGCATGTCGATTGAAAGAAGAGTAAATGTGAGAAGAAAATGGAGAAATTTTTATGACTTTGAGAAAAAATGCATATTACAGAGGACATATGAATTCCATCCCTAGATAAACTGATATTCATGTGAATAAAGCCAGCAGGAGCAATTTCTGAAATACACAAGTTTCATAAGACGTATTACCTGTCTACCCTTCCTGAAAAAACTTTACTCAGAGTCATGAGAGAGATGATTCCAAATGAAGAACTGAAGAAATAGAAATTGTAATATGAAAGGGATCCCTGGAATTAGTTAAATGTAGAGTGAAAAATAAATTTATTTAGTTCCAACATCTCAGATTGTAATAACAAGAAATAAGTTGAAGGAGGGCAAGGAAATAAAAAAAAATATGGGTGAATATACATTAAGTAACTTTTTAGTTAGGGATACAGAGGGGATGGAGGTCAGGACGTTAGGAGGTTAGGAAAGAAGGACCTGCTTTCTCTGGCTACAGGCTCCTCCAAGGAGTCCGGAACCTCGGCTGTCCCACCCACCTGTGTGCTTTGGGGCAAAAGGAAAAGGTCACCACCGTCCCAGCCTCACTGCACAAAATTATGGTAGAGATTCACATCTAGAGAAGACCTCTATGATAGCAGAACCTGAGAAATTGGGACTCAAACATTTTACTCCCAAGTCACATTAATTTGGAAGATTTACTTAAACTTTTTCCTAATGTTTTTCTCTCTGTTGTATCTTGCAGCTGTGTGTCGTTGGGCACATTCCTTTCTTGACCCCTCCCAACCTGAGGGTCATCACTCACTAACAAAATGAGGATTATAATAGCATCCCATAGAGCTTTGGTGAATATTAAATGAGATAATATACATGTTCACAATTTTCAGCTCTTAATAAATGCAACATTATCGGTGTGTTCAATAACATATATACAGGTTTTATATATTAAAAAAAATAGAGGTCCTTCAGCCTAATTATACATGAAAGAAATTGAAGTTTAGCTAACTAATGTGGCTGCTCCAAAGTCAGCAGTTAGTTGTGGGAGAGCCAAACTCAAGGCCCCTCTGCTTCGAAGGACTGATCACTTCCCACCCCTTATATGCATGCTCTTTGCCACACCATCATTCTTAAAGATCGACTCTGAAATCACATCTGCTGCCCATGTGATTCTAGTAATGGGTTTGAACATCACCAAATCTAAGAGTACATCTTTGTATGCTGAGAGTTCTCTCTGGGACTTCCCTGGTGGTCCAGTCACTGAGTCCACACTCACAATGCCAGGAACCTAGGTTCGATCCTTAATCAGGGAACTAGATCCCACATGCTGCACCTAAGAGTTCACAAGCTGCAACTAAAGATCCCGCATTCCACAGTGAAGACCCTGTACAGCCAAATAAATAAATAAAAGTAAATAAATATTAAAAAAGAAAGTTCTTTTAAGGAAAAGGACTATGCACAGATGAGGTATAACTAGAAATGTGTATTATAAATTGAACTGCCAGGAAATTAAGGAGAGTCCTTCTTGCCTTTTATGTCAGTTCACTTTTGTATAACCTGGTAACTTTATACTGGTGGTATAAAAGTTGACTGTGGAAAGATAAAGCTAAATCTTGAATTTTTGAAACAATGGGTTCTAAATAGTCCTGTGACAAATATTACTGCATAAGGAAAAAAGATGTCCAATATTAAGTGGCATGTAACTACTTTCTGTAGGATAGAAAATACTGAAGATAATGCCTAAGGATGGGGAGATGTTTTTGAACTTGCCCCTTCTTTTCAGTTTCTATAACCTTCAAAAAGCACTTTGTCAACATTCTGCACAAACAAAACCCACAATAGAACAATATCAATTAGATGACATGTATGTATTAAGATAAATACATAATTACTAAAAGATGAGGAAATTAGAATTTAAGTTGAGACAGCTTTTTATTTTTTAATAGTATGTTATTTTCCTGAATGAGAAAAGAAAAAGACATATATTTACAAAAGTCTATTTAATCAAGAATAATGCATATATTGTCTATTCTAAGCTTTTTCACAGTCAACTATAATACATATTGGAGAAGGAAATGGATCTCACTCCAGTACTCTTGCCTGGAAAATCCCATGGATGGAGGAGCCCCTTGGAGGAGTCTGCAAACACTCCTCCCCTTGGAGGAGTCTGCAAAGAGTCAGACACGACTGAGCGACTTCACTTCACTTATAATGTATAAATCAAAACATTCACTTGCCTGTTTACATTAGAGTTTTGGAGAAACATATTTCAAAAACGGAAATGAGAGGGAATTCCCTGGTGTGCCAGTGACTAAGACTCTGAGCTCCCACTGCAGGGGGCCCAGGTTCAATCCCTGGTCAGGGAACTAGATCTCATATGCCACAACTAAAGATCCCATGTGCTGCAACAAAGATTCAGCACAGGCAAATAAATAAATAAATATTTTAAAAATGGAAATGAGAAAGCCAAGAAAATATCAGCCTTCTCCCTAGTTCCACTGAAAGGTGTTAATGGAAAACTAGCTCTGGTTCAAAGTCCTTCTATACCATTCACGAGCTTATGTTCTTGGTGTTGAACCTTGCCACATATTTTACAATCATCTCTTTACTTCATCTCCGGTTAGAGGTCACTTTTTAAATCGATATCTATGTAGTATGTGTAAAAACTGACTTCTATATCTTTAATTAGGGGAAGCAGAACCTGGAGAATATACAATACTCTTAAGACACTGTTTAAATATTCAACAGAGAGAGCTGGTCTATCTGACAAAATGTGAAAAGAATTGGAGAGATTGGTACTTGGCAATAGAGCAGTTGTCATGGAATTAAGCCCTATAGAAGTGTTTCCCAACCAGCAGGAATTTGCCCTCCTGGGAGATTTGGCCACATCTGGAAACCTCTTTTGGTCAAGGTACTGGGCCTTCCCAGATGGTGCTAGTGGTAAAGAACATGCCTGCCAATGCAGGAGACATGAGACACGGGTTTGATCCTTGGGTCAGAAAGAGTCCCTGGAGGAGGGCATGGAAACCCACTCCAGTATTCTTGCCTGGAGAATCCCATGGACAGAGGACCCAGGTGGGCTGCAGTCAAGGGAGTTGCAAAAAGTCAGACACGACTGCAGTGACTTAGCATGCACACACGTACAACATGCACTGGGGTGTGTGCGAGGGGCCACTGGCCTCCAGTGGGCAGAGGCTGGGCAGAATGCCAAGTACCCTACGATGAACAGGACAGCCCCACACTCCTGATAGAATTATCCAGGCCAACATGTCAGCAGTGCTGCTATCAGGAAACTGGTATAAGGAACCTTAAAAATCACCTGGTGTAGCAAGTCGCTTCACATTTAAATCCAGTGGTTGAGTGACTTATGGCAAGTTAGAAATGAAGTTTAGAATCCAGGCTTCCTGACGTATGCCTATAATCACTCTCTGCTACAGTGTCTTCTAAATCCCCACAGATCTTCTTCCCCATCCCTTT